ATTATTAAAAGAGACATCTGTTGCACTTGTCCTTTGTAGCATTTCTTTGGCGTCTATTGATCTTGCTTTAGAAAATGCCGTTGATCCAGGAAAAGTCCCTAAGATATTTAGATATGTGGACAATTTCCTCGTGGTGTAAACTTCTACTAACTTTGTGACGCACTCTAGCGAGGTAGATTTGGTTTTGAACCTGTTCAGACAACATGGAAAAGGCGTCATTTTTACGTATGAACTGCCCATTGACAAAAGCTTGCAGTTTTCAGACATTAACTTGACTCAGGGCGAGGGTCATGTCTGTTGGAAGTTCAGCCCTAGAACGAGAAAAGGACTTCTTTCTTATGATTCTGTGCATTCTAAGGTGGTGAAGAGGTCTATAGCTGCTATGTGTTTTCGTTCTGCGCTGTCCAAGGCATGCCAGCACACAGTGTTTGATAGTTTTTTCTTTCAGGTATCACGGCTCACTGCAGCCGGGTTTCCTTATTCGGTCTTAGTCAGTGTGTCTGAAACATTGCTGCAGAAGCTGAAAGGGAAACGCGGGAGGGTAGAGCCATTGCAAGGACAGAGGAAAAGACCGCATGTTGTACCATACATGCACGAAATCTCCCACAACCTGAAAAAGGTTGCAAATCGGCACCATGTGCCAGTGGTTTTCTCTGCTCCAAATAAGCTTTCAAGGCTCTGTGCCCGCATTTCTTCAAGAGGTGCCAAGGTGGTGTGCGATAAGAAGCACGGAAAGCTGTTCCTGCGTTGTGCTGTGGGCACTGTTTATGAAATTCCCCTTAGCTGTGGCGGAAGTCTACATAGGCCAGACAGGGCGCTGTACAAATGACCGTCTAAGGGAGCATTCCTTATCAATTAGGAATGGAACAGGGTCTCATTTGCCCTTTCACTGTGCTTCGTGCGGCTGCACGCCGCAGTTCGATCGCACGCAAGTACTTGGAAGGAACCGGGATGCGCTAGCGCGGGAGTTACTCGAAGCCTTTCACATAATGAAGAAAGGTAACTCGTGCATCAGCGTGCCTTCAGTTGTGTTGCATAACATTGAATTCCAACTGCTGGATCTAGATGTACTTTAGATGAGTGCTACGAAGTGTCTATCAGTCCTTTTTTTTTGCTGTTTTTTTCTCGCTTTTTTTTGCGCAGGCTTGGGTGTGTTTGATTTTTTCGACGTCTTTACATTAGGCATATCTGTTTGTTGCTGGTTCCCAGATATCATGATTGCAATTATCGGTTATTACATCATCAAAATGTTCATGCCTGCACGTGCGGTGAATGAAATGGTCTGCGCATGTCCTCCAAGAGCCTATATATTATGAATGCTTCATTAAAATAAACTTAGTTGTGCGTTGGCGCTCTTTCTGTCTCGTTGTTTTTCTTTTTGTCAACCTTGCGCCACGTATTTCAGCCAATATGTACCAACTAGCCCAACATAACGTACTGTTACGCTTAGGTGAAGCTTGCCATATTAAAGTGCGACATCGTTAAAGAGCTTGTCGTAAAATATTTTCATGTGATACTCAGCTTCTACTGTTCACTAACGATTTGCATAATAATATTGTCTGTCTTTACTGACTGTGTGTTCTCTGATTTTGCTAAGGCTTTTGACAAAGTACACCACTGCCTACTTTCACACAAAGTACCAATACTTACCATCGAACCTGCTGTAAATAAATGGATTGAAGTTTTCTTGACTAACCGCGTTCAGTTTGTTTGTTCAAGCGACACATTTTCACCTGCGCCATATGTCTTGTCTGGAGTTCCACAAGGATTCGTACTAAGCTGGTCCTCAATTTGACTTACCGTCGTATATGCGACCCAGTCATCTGCGAAAAGCCTTAGTTGAATAGATGGGTTGACGCGAAAAAATGCCATAAATATAGACAAGAAAAATATTTGGCGCTAATACGAATCATTGTGGTACGCCTGACAAGACGCCTAGGCTGCTTGAGATATTGTTGTTCACGGAAACTATTTGTTTGCCATGTTTTAAGTGCGACATTTTCCACTGAATAACTTTATGTTCAATACCAATTGCTTAAATTTTTATTTTGAGGTCATGGTGGGGAACGACATAAAAGGCTTTGAAAAGTCCAGAAAAATGGCATCTGTTTGTCCTGTTATGTTGAGTGTATTTGGAATGTAGTTGGTCATCTCAGCTAGCTGTGTAATTGTTGACAGGGAACGACATAAAAGGCTTTGAAAAGTCCAGAAAAATGGCATCTATTTGTCCTGTTATGTTGAGTGTATTTCGAATGTAGTTGGTCATCTCGGCTAGCTGTGTAATTGTTGACAGATCAGATCCAAATCAGTGTTGTCTAGAGTACAGCAGGTTGTTAGCCTCTAAGTGAGTTTTAATACCTTTAAATAATTATATACTCTAATACTTTGCAGCTCGTGCTTGTTAAGGAGACCAGGCGGTAATTGCTAGCTACATCTTTAGATCGGGATTTATGTAGGGGATGACCTTAGCCGTGCGCCCATGATCTGGGATGGTGTGTGTAGATAGGAAGCTAATGTATATTTTATACAAATATTGACTCACCCACTCAGCATACTTTTCAGAAGAGTGTTTGAAATGTTATCTGGAAATGGGAACTTCTTCGCATCAAGTTTTTGCAGTAAGCAGTGGACACCTCCTAGATTTACATTTATTTATGATATAGGTTCAAATAAAGAATATGCTGGCATAATTCCGCCAGGAGACCCATACGTGAAGACGGAATGAAAAAAAAAACAACCATTTATCTGCTATTCCGTCCGCTTCGGTGATTATTTGATGGCACGATGAAAGCTGATTGAATTATTTGTGAAATTTAACGTCCCAAAACCACCACATGATTATGAGAGACGCCCTAGTGAAGGGCTCCGGAAATTTTCACCAACTGGGGTTCTTTAACGTGGACCCAAATCTAAGTACACGGGCCTACAACATTGCCGTCTGAATCGGAAATGCAGCCGCCGCCACCGCGATTCGATCACGCGACCTACGGGTCAGCAGCCGAGTACCTTAGTCACTAGACCACTGTGGCGGGGCATAATAAAAGCTGAGAGATATCAGAATGCTTACTTGACAAATAGCGCAAAAACTTTTTGGATCTGATCACATGAAAGACGGTAGTGCTTCTGAGAAAAAGTGAGACTTAGCAATGAAGATCTCGTTGTTTAACGTTACGATAAGGCTCTGTAGTTTCCTAAATATTCCGCGTTTCCGTTGTCGTTTAATCTTTATCTTTAGATGTATAATCCCGCACGTTATCTACGGATACTTTCGGTCAACGTGTTTTCTTTTCAGAGAAACGTAATATGTTTCACAATAACTCATGATATCCTTGTAGCACGACCACAATTCGCTTACGTTGTCAATATTTTTTCAAAATTGGTAAATAATGACGCTAAATGGGCAAAAATGGCATCGTCGTCTGCATGCACATAGTCTCTGAAATGAATGGCGTGACTTGTTCTTGTTGTTAGAGGTAGCTCTATAGGACTAGAAAGGATAATAATCTTGTGATTAGAAATTCTATCTTCACTACTGATACCACAGTCCTCGATTGAACTACTAACAAACACGTATTGGCGAACAAAAATCCAACACGTGTGGCACAAGTTAGTAGTTGGGACAATGAAAAACTGAATGCTGTCAGTAGCAACGATTCTGAACTTTCTTTCGCTCGTTAGTCGTGGCATAGGTTTGGCCAGTTTATTCTGGGCAAACTAAAGTCACCACAAAGCAATATCTTCGAACGTGAGTTCCTATGCTGTGCAAAATAATCGTGCATAATTTCTAAATATTCAGAGGAAGAGTTTGGTGGCCAGTACACTGCACCAAGAAATATGCTTCTCCCATGGTGATTGACCCTGCACCACGCACATTAGTGGTCGTTAATGTCTTCTAAGCGAGAAGACTTCAGGTTTTTTTTTTAATAGCTATAGTGACCCCACCACCCGGTGTTGTTCGATCTTTGAGGAATAATTTGTATGAAGAGGGCACAACTTCAGAATCAAGTATGTAATCATTCAGCCATGTTTCAGTAATGACTAGAATGTGTGGATTATGGTTTAGTATCTCTTTCAAGTAGACATAGCTTGCTTAAACACTACGGGCATTAAGTGGCACAACTCGCAAGGTTTTGGTAGAAGGCTGACATTGCTTGCCTCGGCTTTTCGGCTGCTTTTTGCGCAGGCGCAACTGCTTTTGGTATTTTCACCCTTTTGTTTTGAAGCGTGTCCCCAACAAACAGTTCCCCACCTAGTTTCATTTTGTCATAATTTAGTGACACATTTAAGCACTGCATCCTCTCTTGTTAAGCGGAGTGCCAAAGTTTTTTTCTTGTGTCGTGCACTTTCTTTGAAAAATTTTCTGAAATAGTGGTTTTTGTTCCTTTTAGTTTGCTGCATTCAGATAGAATTCTTGTTTTTTCTGCAAAGTCATACAACCGAAGGATAACTGGACGAGGGCGTTCTTTTTGGTATTTCCCCGCCCAGTGAACTCTTTCAATCGTGCCATTTTTTGGGCGTGTTGGTAAAGGGAGCTTGACGACATATTGAGCGCTAAGAGACAGGGACAGGAGAGAGTGGACACCACCGAGTTAGCGCATTGTGGTGTCCACTCTCTCCTGTCCCTGTCTCTTAGCGCTCAATATGTCGTCAAGCTCTTTCAATCGATTTCATTTTTATGCCTAACAATTGTTCAAAAACGTTTTGTTTAGTTTTGGTTTCCAGTGATTTCCAATCCTCACATGGATCTTCCTCGATGCTCTAATTTACTAGATCGTTTCGTCGGCTTCAATTTTCCAAATTGTCAACTTTAGCCGACAGCTCAAGAAGTTGGATTATTTTGTGCCCTTGCATTTTATTGTGCAGGAACTTGTCTGAAACATCTTTGTCTTTTGAAATATTTCACTGTGGTTGCCTAGTTTTATCTTTTTACCTGACGGACTGATTAGAAAAATGTCTAACTTGCCTTTTACCCTTTTCATCTCTGGCACTACTTATTGCAGGACTGATGCCCTTATCCAGAGAACAATACGAGAGAACTTCGCAAGCTGCACGGTTTTCACAATAGCCCACAGGCTGCATACAATCATGGACTCGGATCGTGTCATTGTGAGTGACGAAAAAAATATGACCATTGCCACATTGCAATTTCTGACAAGTAGATTTCACTTACTGGTTAAGGTGATAGGCCGGTGGTGCGCATGCCAGCACGAGTGGAACGCTTGCAGAAGGGGTACGTTACGAATATAAACGTGATATAATTGTGATTAGGCATTGCCGCACAAGCAGCAGTCATTTTGTTTTCGCAGAAATCGCAGCACGCAGTAGGTGACCCATTACTCAGCGCAGTCTTGCCAGAATTTGCCGTTTGCACGGTGTAGGCTTTCTAGAATGCTATGGTACACGGATTCAGTGAAACATTCTCGTGATTAGGATTGATGTCCTCGTGCCCCATAAAATATTGTGTGGAAGCGGCAAAAAGTAGCCGCTGTTGAAGTCGCCGATGCGCACGGCAGCTATCAGTTAATGTTGGTAGTGGTGACCTGGTAACAGCATGTGACACACAGTGACGCTTATACATCATCGCTTTACGCTTGTCTTCCTCTCGCCGAAATATAATATGATGTTATTTGTGAGGAAGGGTCACTACACAAGAACCAATTGTCAGCTGCGCCGTATTAACACAGCAGGGACATCTAGCAGCAGTTGCCATTCTGGTGAATAAGAGTCGAGAAAATCTCGCAAAGACATATTAGTTCGCAGCCGTGGCGCTCTTGATGTGCAAAGTGCAACTTTCTTAACTTCATCTTGAAATATTCGTTTACAAGTGTGTTTCCATATTTTTAAAGATATTCGCAAAATAACACAATTCACAACTCACTCAGTTCCGCTTACTGGCTGCATCCACGCCATTCACAAAAAGAACACTCACCAATACAAATATGAAACAGTGCGCGCTTATGCTTGTACGTTCACACCTGCTTGGAAAATGGAGTACAAAGCAGGATAAAGGGAGTAGATCAGTGCCTCCGTTTGTTCTCTCTCTCTCTCCTGTGTCTTCTTCTTCTTCACATTGTGTCCTCCAAGGATTATAAAGAGAAATATATACAGATGACGACGAGAACACCTGCGGTTAACTTCCATATTCGTGTCCTTCGTGTCCTTCTTGTCTTTGTGTCATCGTTTTGCTCTAGCACTATAACTATCGTCATTCCATACTAACTCACAACATCTAACAGACAGTCTCAGAACATAGTCAGCTAGAGCTCCCAGCTAGTAGTTTAATGAAGCTGCAGCTCGTAAAAAGGCAAATATTCTCGTGATCAGTACTTCACCCACAGGTTTCGGAAAAGAGGCGTGGCTGTGGTAGCAGTGCAGATAAAGTTCCCTTTTCTCTCTATGTAGTAAAGCTAAGATTACAAAGTTGCATTAACTCTTTTGCGATGTATGCTGAACAAGACACTTTTTCTACTTGGAAAACTATTACCTAATGAATGACTGTATTTTATCGATTGAATATTTACGTCTTAAGGCAATTGATGTTTAAACAATTGACGATTTAGAGATTGGCAGGTTACTTCCTCCCTTATTTTATACCTTATTTCTGCATTGCAGGTCCTTGATGCCGGTCGTATCGTGGAGTTTGATGAGCCTTACAAACTCATGAAGTCCGAATGTAGCCAATTTACTAGCATGGTTCAGAACACAGGCCCTTCTATGGCCCGCCAACTATGGAATATGGCTCGCGAAGCTTATGCACAGAGGTGGTCACACTCCCATCACGAAGTTACGCGTCATGATATGGAATACATCGAAGAAATACCGCCATGGTTTGTGCCCTCGCGCCCGGATGTAGTCATGTCAGATCGAGCAGCGGAAGTCATCCAAGAAGAAGATGGCGAAGAAGGCCAGTGCTGCACTAGCCTGTGACCCTATCTGTCAAGCGCTACAGAATACAGACAGAAAACATATACTTTCCTGAGAAGAGGACACTGCCCTGCGTCACGTGCGGATGCACTGGTTGCACTTCTAGGCAATGATGTGTCCTAGAAAACGAGGCTCTTATTTTTGTACTTTTCTTGTAGTTGATAGTAGAAAGTATTTCAATAGATACGCCCTCACAAGGTCGTCGTCTCAATTCTTGCTTTTGATTGATTGATTTGTGGGGTTTAACGTCCCAAAACCACCATATGATTATGAGAGACGCCGTAGTGGAGGGCTTCGGAAATTTAGACCACCTGGGGTTCTTTAACGTGCACCCAAATCTGAGCACACAGGCCTACAACATTTCCGCCTCTATCGAAAATGCAGCCGCCGCAGCCGGTATTCGAACCCGCGACCTGCGGGTAAGCAGCCGAGTACCTTAGCCACTAGAGCACCACGGCGGGGCAATGCTTGCTTTTCAGTGTATTTCACCTTAATGACCATAATAATAACCATTACAGCCTTAGAATTTTGTTTTTCTCAGACACATCCTTAATACGTATTTTAATAATAGTTAAGGTCTCAGAAGACCACAAACGAAAAATGATGTAAATAGTGTAAGTATTCATGGATTTACAACCGCCACATCAAATTAGATCATCCTGGCCTTATAGCCATGCAATGAGAAAACTGTCAAATTTATTGCTGCGGTGCCTTACAGTGCAAAAAAATCTGAACAAACATGGTGTTGGAGCTCTTGAAACAACTTCAGCACTTCAACCTGAAAGTGCCGCCTTCCCGCCTCTGCTTGCCCGCGTCATCGTCACCAATGACATTTATTCGCATTCTTCTTCTTTACGGTTCCATGCTCCGCAAAAATGAAAAAACAGTGGTGTCAATGGCAGTGGAGATAGTTGAAGAAACTCCTCTCTAAGAATGAGCGTGTTTAATGTTTTCAAGCTTCTAGCATAAATTTTGTGTACTGTCAATTAACGACACCAGGGTCGAAAGGATTAAGAGCGATGACTCTATTGCAATTTCAATTTCAAGCCGACGTCTTTGAACTCCGCTCAACGAATGCAACCTTCATTTTTGGGGAGAAAGCATTAGCTGATTCGTTAAAATAACAGAGAGAGAGAGAGACAGGTTTATTTACAGAAAGGCAGAGATGTCAGCCTGAGCGATAGCTTGCTTTTGCCTGCTACTCTACACTGTGGGAGGGCAAGGGGGAGAATAAACACTAATGGATGACGATGGTGAGATAGAAAGGTGAGTGTATCAAATTCCTTCTAGCTGAGAAAAATGTTATCGCCGCGCATATAGTCCACTTGCTTCCGAAAAAAGCTATAACCACTCTTATGACCACAGTTGCACTGTTTGTGTGGGCAAGGGCCCTACACGGTCTCATAAGTTAATGACCCACTGCGATATCGTTCGGTAGAAGAAATTAGTGTTTGTAATTCACGTGCGTATGCTGTGCAGTCACAAAATATATGCTCAAGTGTTTCTGTCACATCACAGTGTTCAAAATAAGAACCGGTATCACCGCGACCAATGATATGTGCGTAACGTCTTGTGTACGCCACACCAAGACGAATGCGGTGGATCGTACTCGCGATGTGCCGCTTCAACTTAGGGAGCATGCGGAACCTCATTTCTGAGTCCCATTTGTGAAGTTGCCAGTGTCGCCGTTCCGGTTTGGTCCAGTGCGGAAGTGTGTAGCTGCGCATCACGCAGCGAAGCAGGGCGTTAGTGTCAGCTCGTGAAAAAGCAATGCGTACTTTAGGGGCACTGCTTAGGGCCTTCTTAGCTTCAGCGTCTTCCTCTTCCTTTCCCATCACGCCGCAATGCGCGGGAATCCACTGGAAAGTGATAAGATGGCCATTTGTTGAAGCAACCTGAATAAGTTCGGGGATTTTTATTGCCCAGATGTGATACGGATTTTGCCTCATGATGCAAAGCTCGAGGTTGCTCTCCAAAATAAATCATATTGCCTCCCGGACAGCGACAAGATCTGCGGCAGTTGATGTGGTTTTACGGCCCACTTTGAATCATCAAGCGATATTCATGTCTGCGATGACAAAGGCTGCAGCGAAAGTGTTTAGTGTGCAGACCCCGTTGGTGTACACGTGCAGAGAATCACCGTACGTTGTATAAATGTGATGTAGGGTCAGTTGTCTCAGGCTAACAGAAGGAACGAGTGACTTCTTTGTGATTTCAGGTATCGTAAACAAACAGGTGGTTTATGCAGGACCCATGGAGGCACTGCAGAAACATTCGGCGTAGAAAACCTTGATGGTAGAATATTCTCATGCTGTGATATCACTTTTGAGAAGCTGCACTCTGGGTGAGGGGCGGAAACTGCAATTTGGGTTATAGTGGGTGATGTCTGTGTCAGCTCAGCAATCAAAGGTGAACTCTAAGTGGCTCTCAGAGCATGTACACACTGATGGGACAAGCCCGAGCCTCTGTGATGGTCTCATTTGTTAAAGTACAGCGCGGTGGACCCAAGCATCTTCGTAAGCATTGAGCTTGAACACTCTCTAGCGTCTTTACACTAGGTCTCATATTGGAGAGCACCGGCATGCTGTATCGTATGTATCCCAAAAATTGAGCACTGTACAATTGAAATAGCGATGATTCTGATGGGCCCTATTTTGCTCCTTCCACGTTGCAAAGAACGAAAGCAAAGCTTTTCAATTTATATGTAACTACTGCGACGTGCCTCGTCTATGATAAATTCCTGTGTACGACAACCCCCAAAAATTGTGGCGCGTTACAGCAGGTATCGCTGTCCCATTAATAAATATTGCATATTGCGACATATGCTTGCGCGTGAACGCAAGCACTGCGCAATTGTCGATTGAAAGAAAGAGCCCCTGACGTCGTAGATATTTGGATGTGGTCGTCACTTCACGGTGTAGTCGAGCTCGCAATTGTGACGAGTAGTTCAGGAAAAATAATAACAAGAAATTTGCCGTCAGCGAGATCAGTAGCATCAACACGAGTAATACAAAAACATTGTTACATCGTGACGTCTCCATGGTTCCACTTATTCAAATTTGTGACATCAGGCGCTTCACCTGAGCTCGTTTTATCATGAAGTAAGTGCGAAACCGCGCCAGATGCAGAGAATTTTTCACGAGGTGGAAGAGGAGAATAGATACAAAGACTAAAAAAATAAAGAAAATGCATTTCGCTTTCCCGTAATGCAAAACATAGGGGACCGTGTGAGTTTTTTTCCACATGTACCGTGTGGTGCTAGGATATTAGGAGGCAGACCTATGTAAAATGATGGGCCTACAGCAGTGGACAACGACGTCAATGAATAGGAATTGTTGCCAAAGTTATCACAGGCAAACATAAACCTGCACAATGGTAATTACTTATGGCTTATCTTCATGAAAACTTCTGTTGACAAAATGCCATATCGTAATCGTAGATCCAACATGTGCGACGATCAATGTTATCTTTGTATCTCTGAAAATGCCCACTGGTGGTCTGAAAATGCAATGAATCATACGTGTGCCACGCTTTCTACATGACATGGTGTGTAATTGTGGAATTGCTTTCATTTTGTGCTCGCTGTATGCGAAAATAGTTGTGTCATTCAAATTTGGGTCAAACCTGTAGGCAAAGAAGATTTGGCACGTTCTGCGAGGAGTAGATTTCTGCATGTGGCCTTGGCAGTGACAGCAGAATGCTGCATGAAGATGGAAAACTGCCCTATTAAATTGGTAGAAAAAATTTGGACCATTTTCGAGTAGGAGGCCCTGATGGAATGCGAAGCAGCAGTGGTGCGCACTGCGCTTACTCGGTTGAAACGTTAGTCGACGCGGGTGCTGAAAAAACGGTTTGAAGCGAAGCTCTGTAGAGCGTTTGCAGATAAACGAGCCAAAAGACTGTTTCCACTAGACGTGTGGTTGAGTGGTGAGGGTGAAGCGAGAGAGAAGTGTTGCGAATGGGCGGAGGGGCCCGCAGCTGTGAATGCTGCGGTTCATTGAGAGTGTGACGTCATTGCACACTTGTGAGAGAAGCGTGCGAACGCAGCACGACGCGAACACGTACCTGCAGTGTGACCTATTTAGCACCACTTCCACACCTGCGGTGAGGGCAACGCGTTGCGGTGCGTTCGTACGGATGCAAGTACGTACGGCTTTACACACGTGAATCAAAGCTGCTTCCCGTTTAAAAACACATCATATCGACGAAGTGACTAATGAGGAGTGAATCCCGGCTGCGGCGGCTAGCATTTCCGATGGAGGTGGAAATGTTGTAGGCCCGTGTGCTCAGATTTGGGTGCACGTTGAAGAACCCCAGGTGGTCTAAATTCCCGGAGCCCTCCACTAAGGCGTCTCTCGTAATCAAATAATGGTTTTGGGACGTTTAACCCCACATATCAATCATCAGTAATGAAGAGTGGGGTGAAGCGTCCGCGCGTGCTTCCGCCACTCCGTGCATGCTTCTTGCGTCCATTCATACGTCCATCCAACCATCCGTCCAATCGACCGTCCATTCTTCTGTCAGTCTGGCTGTCTATCTGTCTGTCTCTATTGGACAGCGCCGGCTGTCGTATAATAAGAGCACGCTACTGGCTACGCCGAGTGGAAGGACAGGACATCCCACCAGAGGATGCAATAAAGAGCTTTGCTTCTAGAAATACTACCAGGCCTGCGCGTAACGTGCAGCAGTCACATCGTAAGCTTGAAGGGAGGCCTTTTGGAGCCTTCAGTGAACTATCTTTGAGTACCTGCTACATGCAGGTCTGCAGGGTACCCACTACATCATAAATCATCATACCTTTTGTGTAGTAGGGAAGCATCATTATGCGATCTTTCGTCATTTTTCGGAGAAACATGGTACCCACTACTCCCTTGCAAGGAATATTGTGCAATATTTTGATGCTGTGGCTGACGACACTGAAGAATTATGCCTGAACCTTTTGTAATGAGTTGGAGCAATCTATGATGATGATGATGTGTAGGGCTTAATGGCGCAAGAACCAATTGATGGCCAAAGAGCGCCGTTCAGTAGGCAGGAGATGATATGGTATGTGACTGCATAGGGCCTTAAAATTACTCGCGCTTACGCGGGTAAAAACATAGAAGTAATAAATGCATGAGAGTGGCCTGAAATATGTGAGGTCGTGCTACGAATCATCTCAGTATATGAGTTGAAGGCTATGTATATCATTTAAAAATGCCAACAGTGATTCGACTTTAAAAAACGGATCCCTAGCGATGAGCATGACCGGATGTAGTGGCTGTTGGGAGGGAAGCAAAACGTACTTGTTTCTCAGGGAATCTAGCTCATAGCACTGCACAAGGATGCGGATAACTGTAAGTGTTCTCCACATCTCTCACACAATGGTAGATTGCCACCAGACAAAAAGTGTGAATGTGTTGAGTGACTGTGTCCTATTTGTAACCTTGTCTGTGTTACTTGTGTGTAGCGGGATCTGGATACTGTTGGCAAATTTTCAAGTCTCGGTTTGATAACGTGCAATTTATTATCCGTTTGCCTATCCGAAAGGCGTTGTCAACATGCTCTGAGCTCCCGTCGTAGGAAGGGTTTCATGTCAACTGCAGGGACGGCCAGGGATGTATTGGCGGGTGCGTGGTCGTACGCAGACCCAGCCAGCTGGCCCGCCACTGCGTTTCCAGTGATCTCGCGGTGCCCTCGCACCAAGCACACCACAACCTGTCGTTTGAGGGCGTACATTGCCCATAGTAGCGTGTAAAGTGATATAAGGACAAGAATTTCATGTTATTTCAGCATTTTCAAAACTGCTACGACACTCAGTGAATCTGTGTACACAACCGCACGTTGCATAGAAGTGTGGCAGCTCGGGCTAGTTGGTATGGCATGACGATAGTTATAGCGCGAGAACAAAGCGATGACACAGAGACCTTCGTCCTTCGTGTCCTTCTTGTCTCTGTGTCATCGTTTTGTTCTTGCGCTATAGCTATCGCACGTTGCAGTTGTGATTCCTTGATATGCTTGACGGCCACATATACCGCATGGGCTTCTGCAGTGGAGATACTTGTTTGCAGGTGTAGAATACCGGATTTTGGAAATGATGGGCCAACAGCTGCATAGGACAGACCAGTAAGAGACTTTGACACATCTGTAAAGAATTCCGGGCAAGTGTATTTAAGTTGAAGTTCGAGGAAGTGTGTGCGGGTGTGTGCAGTAGGTGCGTGTTTAGTAACCTCCACGAAGGATACGTCACAATTGTCTGCCACTGCCACGGCAGTGGATATGCTGCGGGAGCTATCAACCAGTGCTCTAGAAGTGGAACGCCTATTTCTTCAGCGAGGCTCTTAATACGGAGCGAGTAGAGCTGCCTCTGTGAAGGACGGTTGTTGAACAAGGCAGCATTGGACACATCAATAATTATGTTCCTCGTCTGCGTTAACCCTGTGATTGTATGTAAAGGACATGTAACACCTCTGCAGATAGAGTGATCATTCATTTGATTCTACATACATGCTTTCTACGGTGCTAGTTTGAAAGGCACCCGTAGAAAGGCGAATGCCTAGATGCTGGACGGGGTCGAGCATAGGTGATAGCACCGTAATCTAGGCGCGTGCGTACGAGGCTCCTGTACAAAATTCGCAGGCATTTCCTGTCACTTCCCCACGTAGTGCGCGGCAGCACTTTCAATATATTCATTGTCTCTAAGCACCTGTTCTCTAAATAATTTGTATATGGTATGAATGTTAGTTTTGCGTCCAATATTAGGCCAAGAAACTTATGGTCAGACTTTACAGACAGACGTTAACCATGCAGGTCAGGCTCAGGATAGAGATGAACGTACCTCTTTCGGCAGAACAGGATTCAGGTACTTTTTTGCGCGTTCAGTTCAAAAACATTCTCATCTGCCCATTGAGAAACCTTGTTCAAACCCAATCTAACCTGTCGTTCACACACTGAGAGGTTACAGGACTTGAAACCAACCTGCACGTCAACAACATATGTACAATAAAGCATATTCCATAACACAACGAGGCGCAAGGAGTTCATTTTCACTATAAAAGTGTACAACACCATACCCCTCCTTGCGTCACTCCTGTTTCTTGAACAAATGTACGGAACAACACAGTGCCCACTCGAACACGGAATGTCTGAATAGACAGGTAGCTTTCGATTATTGCCAACATTCTGCCCCGCACACGTAGGTGTGACAAGTCTCGGAGTATGCCAAAGCGCCACGTTGTGTGATAGGCCTTCTCCATATCTAGGAACGCAGAAAGAAAAAAAATGTTTGTGAATGAAAGCATCACGAATTTGTGCCTCGATACGGACAAGGTATTCAGTAGTGGATTTATCCTCCCGAAACCCGCACTGGTATGGGTCAAGTAGGCTATTTGCTTCAAGGAAGTACATCAGTCACCTGTTTCTCATTTTCTCAAAGACCTTGCACAGGCAACTCGTCAATGCACAGGGCATGTAACTTGATGCTGAAGATGGGTCCTTACCCTGTTTAAGGATTGAAATAATGATGGCTTCTTTCCCGGTGGAAGGCATCTAACTGGATGACCAAGCAGCATTATATAAGGAAAGAGGTTTTTTTGGGTTTAAGGGGGCAGACGTTTCAGCATTTTGTACACTATATGGTCGGAGCCTGGATCGGTCCTGTTACAGCACTTTAGCGATGCTTCTGGCTCTGCTAAGATGAAAGGTTCATTGTATGCGTCATTAGTTGTGGATTTCTGTTCTATCTTTTTGTTTTTCTGGTCTTGATTTGTAACGATAGAACGCCGGACTGTAATGGGTTGAGCTGGAGACCTGTTCGAAGTGTGCACCGAGGGAGTTAGCTTGGTCTTCCAAAGTATTACTAGAGTCCTTCAGTACTTTTCTGGTCACGAAACTTCTCCGTAACGCTATGGGAGAGCTTCATATGGGGATCAAAGCTCCCGCGCGGTGGCGCTACGAGTCTGGTGAAGGCGGCTTGGACGGCGGCGGCCGCATTTGCAGCGTTTGCAGTGCGTTGGAGCGCGAGCTTACTGGTTTGTTTGTTGTGTGGTATAGCTGTCTACACTCATCACGGACGGCAAACTATGTGAACTACCATGCCTCTGACGTGCTGCGTACCTGGTTGCCGCTCTGGCTATCGGAGTTGTACAGAAAAAGCTTCGCTGTTCTGCCTCCCAAGCGACCGCGAACAACGCGACAGGTGGAAGCGAGCCATTCCATGACAGGAGACGGGCGCTTTCAACTTCGAGTCGAAGGCCGTTCGTGTGTGCGAGAAACATTTCGACACCACGGACATTATTCGAGCCGATGAGTTCAGAATAAGTGGACAATCTGTGCTTCTGCAGCGCGAGAAGCCTAAGCTCCGCGTCGGTGCCATACCCCGGATATTTGAAAACCTGCCGGCGTATCTTACGAAGCCCAAGCCACGGTCGCGCTCACAGCGAGAAAATCCGCCTGTAAAACGTCGTCGCGTTTCGTCGCCGAACAACGATGGCACTGCAGCTTCTGTGAGCTCCAGCACAGAGCCCTGCGATCCTGAAGCAGCCGGAGATGATGATAAGCCTCCATTCGCGTTGCCTTGTTTTCTTGTTTCACTATGTTGAGAGCCTGTATTGCCTGTGTGCTGCGTGATGTCGCATTATATTGATCCATATTTCTTCGTTTGACAGGTGGAGTGATAAGCACTGGAAGCTGCACAGAGATGGCATGCCAGACAGAGGGAAATGTCTGCTCCATCTCAGAGCTCCACGCAGTTAAAGACCAGCTTCGAAGCACTAAGCAGCAACTTCGTTTGTGCCAAGTGAAGATTGCGAAATTGACAGTGCAAGCGAATAGGAGCAGAAGATCGCACCAAGACGTTCAGAAGTTTTCGGCTCGCGAGAAGCTCATTTTTGACCACTGGCTCATGAAAGCCAACGCGAAGTCTGCAACAGCTGCGCGGTAAGTTCCAAATACCCCATCACACACGTAACATTGCTATTGGATTGCCCCTTTTGCGTTTGAAAATGTTATCTCAAGGTGTAGCCTTCATTTATTCATCATGTATTTGTATCTGTTGTACCGCAAAACAATATGCTATTGAGGCAGACATTGGTTTGGCCGTTTTGTGTAGTGTTATTTCTAATTTCGGGAAAAATTGCAGGTTTGTTTGGGCAAATATACTTTCTTCAGTTTTTATAACACCATTCTCATTATTTTTTGCTTTGCATGAATAGTTTCCAACACGCTCATTGTGGAAAACAAATTTGCAATTCATTCTCTCCAGGTACAAAAAAGAGTGGATTTATGACTGCTTGCTGCTAAAGATAAAGTCCACAGCAGTCTACACTTTTCTTCATGAAAATGAATTTTTGCCCCTTCCAAATCCCCGCACCCTCTATGGCTACCTCAGAAATCTGAAAGCTGATTTTGGCTTCGACAGCACTTTGTTCACGGTTCTGTGTGAAAAGCTAGAAGCAGTTCCAGAAAGAGAGCGTCGAGGTAAGAAGCAGTACTCATTTTTATAATTGTATTATATTCAGCAGCGCAATTGAGACAAGATGTTAACCTACCCAAAACTTTCCAGGAGTGCTCATGTTCGATGAAATGAGCGTCAGAAAAAGCGTCCACATTCGCGAGTCGGACATGGCACTGCTAGGCAAGGTGGATTTCGCCGAACACACACGACCAGGTGACCATGGCAAAGACGGCGACCACGTGCTGGTCTTTCTGTTTCGGCCTTTTCTGGGAGGGTGGTCACAAACTGTGGGCACATTTTGTGCTTCTGGTGCTGCCCCAGGATCAATCGTGGCGAAGCTCCTTTTGCAGTGCATTGTTCACCTTACAAACGCTGGTGTTGTTGTTGACGCAGTGACCTGCGACAACTCCACATCAAACCAATCAGCCTTGAGATCTCTGGGTACGTCTTTTCAAATTTTATTTAGCTGTGGTTAGTGATGTAGTAAAAAAACAAGTGTACTATTAAACTGTTTTTCTTTCAAGGTGTCAACGGGGACATGCACAAGCTTCAAACGTGTTTTGAACACCCGTGTGAGCCCTCAAAGCAAGTCCACGTTGTAATTGATCCACCGCACATATTTAAGTGCATCAGAAACAACTTGCTCAAAGTGGGCAAGTTTTTGGTAAGTAAAAAAAAGTTGCATGTGAATGCCTTGACCTGTGCATAAACTATTCAGTTTTAAAAAAAATTGTCACTTGTCCTTATGTTGCAGCTCCCTCAAGGACAGGAGGTGTTCCACTGTCACTACAAGGACTTACTGGACTATGAAGAAGAACAGGCTGGACTCCGGGCTGTACCGAAGTTAACGAAAGCCCATATTTTCCCCAATGCGTTCCAAAAGATGAGCGTGAAGTTGGCTGTCCAGGCAAGTCATGCACGCAGCTATGTTCAGTGCAAAGTGTATTTCAAAAACATCTGCTCACACGTTTTGGGAAGTAAACTTAAAATCCTTTTTTTCCACACATTTTACAGCTGTTCAGTGAGAGTACTGCTTCGGCCATGGAGTTTTATAGCGAGCAGGAAGACTGCAAGAAGCTCCATGGGTCGGCTGCAACATCGCAATTCACAAGAACATTGAACAAGCTGTTCGACTGCCTGAACTCTCGGAGGCCAGACCATGTTCGATTCAACGAAGCACAACACATTGCTGTGAGATTATTACATGTGTTATGAAGTGTTTTTCGTGTACTATAGATGAAGCATAATTTTATTCCAGGTGTTGAAGGACAGCATTGCATGGCTGGACAACTGGGAGAAATACATCAAGACATTACCGACCCAGAGGCAAGTCTGCTTTCTGAGTAAGCAGACATGTGGAGCCCTCAGACTGACACTGCATAGCTCAGTTGCACTCATCGAGAGCTTGCTGTTGTCTGGGTTTCGTTACGTTCTCGTTGGGAACTTCGGACAAGATCCTCTAGAGGTAAACATGATGAGTTTTATGTGTTTAAATGTGCTATGAATTTCTCATTGTTGCGATAAATTGATTTTTTCTTTCTAGAGGTTTTTTGGCATCGTCAGGCATGTTGCTGGTGCGGGGCGCAGCCGACTGTGCAACATTTTTTGTTCATCTATCGGATGCTTTCTGTAAACAACCTAGTTCGGCCGCCAAAACAGGCCTCGGACGAGGGAGATGGACCCCAGCTGTTGCTCAAGCTCCAGGGCCTCTTTGACAAGGGAAAACCTGCCTCCAGTCAGGTAACGTGCCCCTTGCTTTTATTTATTAGCTCTAGTTTCTTTTTTTCAGGAGCAGTTTCACTACACAAATGACCAAATAACCAAATGAAACATAATGTGTTTTTGCATTTACGAATCTCAACTTATACATTGAAAGATTTGAAACTTGGAATGTATTATGCAGATTGACATGTTGGCGGTCCTCTTTGATGACGTTCTTGAGGAGCCGGGAGAGGCAGTGAACAATGCATCCGTGCCTGACGTTACGCTCTCCACCAAAGAGTGCATTCTTGATTATCTTGCCGGTTACGTGGTAAAAAAGTTTTCAACGATAAGCTGCACTGACTGCGTAGGAACACTCAAGAGCCAGACACGAGAGCCAACTGACCTAATCCAGAAGAAGTCAAGAGGATTCCTGCAAGTGCCCTCATCCCAGCTTCTCAGCCTGTTGCGCATTGTGGAAGGACATGTTGAAGAACTGACTGTGGACACAGTTGCATGTGCCGATGTGTATGCGACCATTGTTGACCAAGTTTTGCTCGACAGCCGCATTGCTTCTGCTGGTGTGGGCTGTAGGTTGCACTATGTGGGTACCACAGCAGAGGTTGTTCATTTTTTCTTGAGGTGCCGCCTGCACTTTTACACCAGGGAAAAAACAAGCTGACACGAGCGACGCGGCGAGCAAACTGCCCAGCAAATGGTGGCGACAAGCCCCATGGGTAGCAGATGTTCTGTTTGTCATGCTATGTAAAGCCCAACTGTTGTGTTTTGTGTTTGCTAGTGACAAAAAACACTTGCACATTTGTGTTCCTAGTTGCTTGTGTGACGTTGTTTATTTCCTTTATCCGCCATGCTATTGCCGTAAACTTGTATGAATAAACACTTGCACCACAGCCGCGGCGCGTTTTCTAGTCATTTGCATGCGCTTGGCAGCTGCCTGCGACGATCAGCAAGTGGCCAGTCAGGTTACTGTCATCTGTGTGGCGGAACCAAAATCCACAGCGGCTACATTTTGATTATCCAATCAGGTATTTTGAATTTGCAAAGCGGAGCATGGCTAGCTTTGCCTGTATTTCTTTTTTTAATTTTTTTTAGTGTCCCCGCCGCGGTGGCTCAGGGGCTAGGGCGCTGTGCTGATGATGATGAGCCCAAGGACGCGGGTTCCCAGCCGCTTTTCTGATGGAGGCGAAAAGAGAAAATGCCTGTGTTTTATAGATTCCCGCGCATGTTAAAGATACCTGGGTGGTTAAAATTATTCCGGAGAGCTACCCCAGAGTCCTTCAATGCTTGAAGGACTCTGGCTACACTACGGCGCGCGCCCGATTGCCTGCATAGCGTCAGCGCGTTAAACCTCATAACCAAGTAATCAATTAACTTGTCGTTTTGGTGGGACGAGTGTGTCAGACACTGACCATACGAGTTTTTCTGTTGACACCCTATACCTATGTTGACAGCCGGGAAAGTCGCTCAAGTGTGTAGCATTTACTCCTACGCGCGCTCATTATGCTGCTTCCATTTCGTGAGCGTTTTTCTTCATCATGTTGATGCTCACTTTCCAAACCTAGGTTATTTTTGTACATTATTAGCGCGCTATAAAATCGCGCAGACACAGCGCTAACCCAACGTGCTGTACGTTTGCACACCTATTTGCTAAGCGCAGCATGTCGCCCAGGGCTGTATATACCGATTTAAATCTGGTGCTAGTTAACTCAAATGCAGGAAACTGCAAAGACTACTCAAAAATCGAAAACACCAGATGTCCTCCTTCTCAAAGCGAGAACGTAGCGGCCGTGACTACCGCAACGAACGAACGCTGCAACATATACGACTCAGTAACACGCGTGGCCTTGCCTCTATTTCACAGCTAAGCTAAGCGTCAACTGAATCAAAAACACGCACACTTCGCTCGCGTCGCTCGCGTTTTTACAGGTCGCGTTTTTACAGGTGGAAATGAAGAGCAGATGAAATTAGGCGCATTGCCAACGGAGAAACAGCCGGCCCGCAAGCGTCGCCGGCCGCCGGCGAAGCCTTCACGCTAACAGGGGCGATCCTAGCGGCAGCTTTTGTCCCTGAATGAAACTTCGGCCGGAGTTTCGTGACCAGAAAAGCATTGAAGGACTTAGGTATTACCTTGTGTGTTTACTAGAGGAAGAGGATGGGCTTCTCGCCCTACTACCCTACTGAGCATGCTCCAGACTCTTGCCTCATGTGCATATGAGTTGATGTCAGATAGAAACTTCTGCCAGCTCTCCCTTCTAGCCTGCCGACGCGTTCTCCTGCCTTGTGACTTGGTGTTTTTAAAATTGACAAGGTTCTTGGTGGTTGGGGAGTCTCAAAGACGCTTCCATGCTTTGTTTTCTTGTTTGCGTGCATTGAGACACTCACTGTTCTACCAAGAAACGCGCCGTTTTCTGGGTAGCCCAGATGTTTGCGGAATGCACTTAGCTGCAGCTTCAATAAAAAAAGGAGTTAAGAATTCTACAGCTGCATTTATGCTAGAACAGCATATGCCAGTCCAGCTTAAGCTAGCTATCTTACAAAATTGGTCCCAGCCGGCTTCTTATGAGCCATTTGGAAACGTGTGCAGGACATTCAGAATATATTAGTGTATTCAGAATTACAGGAAAATGGTCACTTCCGTTAAGATTATTTATGACTTTCCATGTGAGTATCGGTAGGAACAATGGAGAGACAATGCCGAGGTCTATCGATGAGTAGGTATTATTAGCCAGGCTTAGTATGTTGACTATTTTCGATTGAGTAGACACGCACCAGAATAGAAAAGAAACTGTTCAATAAGGCGGCCTCGTGCATCGCAGCGAAAGTCACCCCATAGGCTACTATGAGCATTAAAGTCCCCCAAGACGAGATACAGTTATGGAAGTTCCTCTATCAGCGACTGAAACTTGAGTTTATTCAGTTGATGGTATGCAGGTATGTAAATACTGCAAATTGGTATAAATTTGTTGAAGATGACAGCTCGGACAGCTTCTGCTTCCATTGATGTCTGATGGGGTAAATGTGTACAGGCTGTTCCTTGATTAACTATGGCAACACCACCGGATGAGGCGACAGCCTCATCTCGGTCCTTTCTAAAGAAAACGTAATTGCATAGAAAGTTAGTGTGTCTTCATTTTAAGTGTGTTCCTTGCACACACAGCACTTTTGGTGCAGGGCCGTACCCAGGAATTTTTTTCGGATGGGAGGGGGGCGTGTTTGCGTGTAGAACGGCTGCCATTTTTTAAGATTTATACTGGCTTATTTTCGTGAATAAAACAAGCACATCGCTTACTTGTAATAATTCGATGGTACTTTTCAATTATTTGTACCCAAATAAAGAAATTGGTATGTCAACCTCAAATTCTGGTTAAAGCAAGAAATAAGTTTGGACAATAGCACCACCAAAGCCGGGGACACCGCGACCAACGGCTCCTGATGAAGTAACACAATGTAACCGCGGTACATAAGCGGTATGTATGTGTTACAAGCTGCCACTCTAGCGTCGCCAGCGCTAAGTCGGCGACGGGAATGGCAGCAGGTTAGGTCGTTCCGTACGTAAGCAGAGACAGTGAAGAGATCAGAGACGTATATGGGGAAAAACAAAACTCTAGTGATATTGCAGCACTGCAGAGGAATCTAGGAATATTGCAGAGGAATCTAGTACAACACTTAATACCAACTAACAAAATACATATAAAATCAATAAATCAGCTTACAAGAGAGAAGTATTACAAACTACACAAAACTAACCAACAATAAAACTACAGATGAGAAAGTCCGATGGTATAAACAGGTGAAGGGATACCTGTGATGAGCGGCAGCGTTGAGTCCACGACGATCGGATGCGAGAAGTCAGAGAGAGTTCTGGCACAGCTGCGATGTCAGCGGTGTTGCAGCGCTGGTGTTTCCGGGAGGCTAGTGCTTGAAGCCGATCTCGGGCAGGTTGAGCTTACTCGAGATTCAAGTACCGATGCCTACGTTACAGACGTTAATTTCGCGTCAACTCTAGACGAATGGCTAAGTTTAGGTGGCCAGCCGACACGGAGCCACAAACACTTAAGGGATACTTCTTGATCTCCTTCTACACCATGTTGGTCAGCAACTAGACTGCTTAGCAAGGCGAAATCCTGCTCTTAAATCGACCTCCGTGTCCCCTGATTCTCGTCCTGGAGAAAAGAGACCTCTACATGGGTGCAATCATGCACGTTTCATTGTTAAAAACTCCACCCTAAAAATATATTAACCACGTCCCTTTTTAATTAGGAGAGGGTCCTCAACTGAGCGAGAGTGACAACCTGTTGGGGTTCTCTCATACGGCTTGTCCACAAGCAGTTTTGCCCGTGGAAATGGTCAGTTTTCTTGGTTTCAGCCGGTGCGTTTTGAAGTCTACAGGTAGTTCGGGGTGCATCGCGGCCTTTGACGACCCTGCCGACGCCGCCGTAGGTACAAAGGATCAAACATCGATTACTAACGTTTGAAAAAGAACACCCCATTCAGTACTTCCCTGCACTAAAGGCCAGTCTTTCCATGAGCGAACGGTTCCACCGGTCAGCGGGGGAGTGCGGCGCCCGTTAATTTGTCGTTACGCCGGGTCGCAAAAATGGCAGTCCGTGACAGCATGTATGCAAGCAAACAAACAAGTCACCCGACATTCCGATCTTCTTGTTACCGTTGGCACATTCTGCTTGCTGGATAGTTTCCTCGTAATTGCGAAAGGATAGAAGGGTCGAAGCTTGGGCTAGCTGGGTTTAGCTTTTAATCGACTCTTGAAACAAAGAGGGAAGTTTAAACGAGGAAGATTTTCCTTCTCGGCAACTTGCAAAATTCTGTGAGGACTTGTTCTGGGGTCACTTGAAGTTCTCGATGGATGCTGAGCAGTGCTAGTCCGGTCAATCAGTCGTTGTTCATATGATTTCGAAGGTAGCTCTTCAGCCTTCTCAGTGGGGAAAAAGTCCGTTCCGGGGTCGACGTCGACACGGGTAAAGTCGCCAGAATAGAAAGTAGGCTGTGGATGTTCGGAAAAAAGTCGCTTTTGCACATCTCTAAGGCCTGTAAAGCACAAGCTGGGCGATTCTTTTCTTCGATCTGGCAGCATTTGTTCACCCACAGTGTGAACTCTGCTTCGATGACATTAGCCGAAGGAATGTCGCCAAGGTAAAACTGCACTGCATCATCCATATCATAAAGGCTAGCCGATGCGCAGAATTTCGGCAGCAGCATGTTAAGGCCAACCACGACATTCTTATGGGCATCAAACCGGTCTCTTAATTGATTTTCGAAGTCAGCCAGCAAAGGCAAATACACATTCCTCCGGTAGTACTCTTCGGGAGTAGCAGAAGGTACGTTCCTTCTTTGCATCTGCTTTCCAGTGATGCGTGGTAAGGCCATCTCAACATTTCTGATCTTCAGCAAAAAGAGCGACTTCAGAAAAATCTTACGAAATTCCGTTTCCGCACTAGCCCTTTTTGAGGAAAGAACGTCTATAACATTCTTTACGTGATCGCACGCTTGAGCCTAGTCACAGTCAATTTTTTGAAGAAACTTGCAAAGTGGTAGTGTCAAAGAGAAGAGGTCGCTACAGATCTGAAGCGAAATGACAAACTTGGGCTTCGTAATGGCATTGAGCAGTTGAGAAGCTTTTGATGAAGTATCAGATGACGCGGC